CACTGCCTTATGTGTTGCTAGCGGATGAGGCTTTTCCACTGACAACGTACATGATGAGACCGTATCCGCGAAGTGGCAAGCTAGATCTCAGGAAGAAAGTTTTTAATTACAGGCTCAGTCGAGCAAGACGTGTTGTAGAGAGCGCTTTTGGGATTCTAGCAGCAAGATGGAGGATTTATAGAAGACCCATAATTGCAAGTGTTGCAAATGCGAGAAAAATTGTACAAGCAACAGTAGCACTTCATAACTTTATTATTAGTAATGAGGAAAAATTACTTTCCAAGAGTACATATGTGCATTTAAGTCCTGAAGATCGCGATATAATTTCTCAAGGATTTAGCTCGTTGCCAGTTACTAGAGGCAGAGAAATGAACAATGGCATCGAAATTCGAAATGCTTATTCGAATTTCTTCATAGGTACTGGTGCATTATCTTTTCAGTGGGAAAGGGCAATGAATAATGATTTTTAATAAAATCAAGGATTATGCGGTGATAAATAAATATGTGCGTTTATGTAACAATCGCCGTGACTGAGTTGCGGGGGTGCAATGTTATGTCATGTGTATATCTGCGACTAAATTATTTATAACATATTGTATGGCGAGAAAAAAAAATTAAATGTAACCGCTTCACATGCACCTTCCTATTAACGCTTTTTGACACCTGTATTTATCTTAATGGGATTGTAAAGGTATCAGAGTGCCAGATAATGCCAATCGTTTTCTTACTCAATTTTACACATTTATTACGTTTATTACATTTTGTTAACGCCATTGATTCGGATTCTTCAACAAATAATGCAGTTCGACTTTTCTTGTACATTCCCATTGGCCTTCTCGATCTCCTTCAGTATTTATATGTGGAAATATTGCGTGAAGATTTTTTTCAATTACCCTTCGATACATATATATTTTTTTTTTATAAAACGTAGAGGTATACTTAAATGTAATAAAAACTCGATAAATATATTTCTTGACAAAAAATAAGACTAAAAAAGAGATAATTTCTGTTCAAAGTCAAATAACAGCGTTAGGACTTGCATCTGAAACTGAGCCCTCTCACGTGCTGGAAGGGCTCGTACTCTATCTCCTATTTGGAGGAAAAATCCATCGATGGCGTCTGGATTTTTCTTAGACTCGCCTTCTAGGACTGATAAAATTACCTCTTTTACATCAGAGATGTTGTTACAGTTCCTTGATTCTAAAAAACAGTAAATAAAACGTCAGTATGTAGATAGTAGTTTAATAAGTTTTTTTATATCCCAAAAATCATTTAATTATAATTACATGTTTTTATTTATTACTAAACTATACTATCTGACAATTTTAGTAGGAATTATTACATAAATAAGTACAACTTACTTTTTGCTTTTGATTGCTGCTGATTCGGTGATAGGGAAACATTTGGTTGCTGCTGACTCGTCGATGGGGAAACATCGCTCGCTGTGTGTTCAATTACAGCGTACGATGTTTCAGGTTGCGCGACCTGTACAGGATCCTCAATTGCTGAATCTTCATCAATATCGATTACAACACCTGTACAAATACAGTGAGCATAATATTACGCGTACACAGTAAAATATACATACTGAGAGTTAATAAAATAAAGGAGGAGCGCGATAGCATTTAATACCACTCAAAGAACACATCGCAATCAAAATGATATCATTTTGACATCATTTGACAAAATTTGCGTCATTTTTTAGTCAATACAACATCATGACTGCGAGATATTCCTTGGACAAACACACATGCGTGCACAAAGACACTGTAGAGCACCTTTTAAAACAAAAGGGATTTTTCTGAGGAAAGAGCAATTTTTAGATACAAATTTATATGAGATCGAGCCTATGATTCCACGATCAAGCTCGATGCACACATACACATGTAAACAAAGATTGCATGTTAAACGTGTGAACTGGAAATTTTTTATTCACACACCTAACAGTTAGGCACCTCCGTACAACTTAACAAAACATCTTGCAGTGTCATACACGGTGTCCCACATCAACATTACAAATGGACGGTTTGGAATTCTACGGGAGGAAGGTGTACGATTGCGATTTTGATCCAAACCTGAGTAAGTTCGTAGTAACCAGCTGAGCAAGCTAGAGACAGCAGGCTCTCTCCCTCCTCGGTGGTCTCGTGGACACTTCGGCCCTCCTTTAACAACTTCCGAACGGTACCGACGTCTCCGTCGGTGTACGCCTCGACGAGAGAGCGCTTTTCATTCGGCATACGCGGATTGTCACTACGCATACGTGTTAGCGCTGCCGCAGCCTCATCCAACGCACAAGACACACTCGACGTTAAGCGTCGCAGCATTTCGCGGTCGGGCAGGTGCTTCCCATCGCCTGATGACAGCTTCCCGACGCCGGCCGCTTCGAGCAACGCCTCGAGACGCGCCTGGGTCTCGGGGTCTACAGAACATTCCAAATCGTCGGGAGTCAACAGGAATTTCGACGAGTCGGGATGATCTTCGTCCAGTTCAACCTGATCGATCGCGAAGCACTCCACCTCGGAGACGCTGTCCTCCTCGCTCTCCGACGAATCCGTCATAAAGCGCAGCTGCAGCTCGGAGAAGGTCTCGGTCTCTGACTTCGTGGGACTCGAATTCGACGACTGGGGAGTCGACGTCTTCCCGGTGTCGTGGTGGACGTTCGCCGACGAAGAGACCGAGGACGACGATGATGTCACGCATGCAGTCACGTACAAAATCCTTAAAAACGAATACATCTGACAATACGCAAAAAAGTTATCTGAAAAAATGGAATGTCTCGCAGCCGAACGGAACGTAAACAAGACGATTTCGACAATTTCATCGACAGTATATCCGTGCGGAAAAATTACGCTAGCGACTCGTATTAGCTGGTGTTACCCGCGGAGGATTTCATTGCATCATATACCGGGGTTACGCTAACCTATCTTACCGCTGTTTATCACGGTGACAATCGAGCACGGGCGAGATACGAGTCTTTGAACGTCGCGTTAAACTGCCTGTAGCGGCGCACCTCGATTGCTGAAGATCGCAATTTTTTTCACATTCTTGCCAAAAATTTTGCATAATATCGGAAGAATCGAAAAACGCAGACCTCTACTTTTCTCTTTTCTCTACTGCTACAGCACTTTCTACACTCAAAATGGCACCTGGGAGGGCTCGACCCACACGTACGACTGTACATGCATGTGTGAGTGTGCGATCCGCTCAAACAATGTTCAAAAGATTGTTAAGCGTATCAAAAACGGCGGATCGTCTGTGATTGGTCGCTCTAGTCGATACGCCAGGTACGCGCGTACCGCGATACGCGCCATGGGACGGCACCCTCAGTTGATGACCTATTGGTCAAAGAGACTCGATGTATCGTGTCGCCCGTAAAGCAGCGACGCGATTGGCCGAGTGCGAGGAGACGCGCGAAATGCACGAGACTCGCGCCGAAATGAGCGGCGGTGCGCCGGCGCGAGCAGCCATAATGGGAGAGCGAAACCCGTTCCTCCCGGACAGTCGTTGGCACCAGAGTTGCCATTTCCTGAGCCTGGTAGCATTCGGTCGCATATGGAGGGGATGGAGTGGGGATGGCCCTCGTGACTGCCCGTGACGTCACGTACCGCACACAAGCCACGTACCGTCGTACATGTGCGCTCGCGGCTTCGGGCAACGTCGAGTAACATCTCTCTACCGGGCCGCTCGAGCGCGGCGCTGACGATACGTTTAATAAAGAAAGAGTTAACGAAATCCACATTATAAGTAATTAGTTTTGAACAGTAAAAATATTTAGATATACATATTCTTTGTACATAATATATTTTTTATATGTATATAATAATATTATAAAAATCCCAAAACAAAAAATAATGAAATGCCACTCTTGGCCAACGTGTACGTTTTGTTTAATGCCATATTAAATATATTTTAAAAACATTTTTTTTATAAAAATTTTGAAAACATTTCTTAATAAAAATGAAGTAATAATTTTTTAATAAGTAGAATAACTTTTTTTAAAATTAAGATCGGTATTTATATGTCGTATTTATATTACATGTACAACGTACATGTTGTTGCTCGACGGAAACCGCGAGAAGGTGGTGGTCTTTTTCGTCATGAAGTTTAAACAATTGTTATTAATTAATAAAAAATTTAATTAGAAAATTTTATAATTGTAATGCACACAAATTATTGCACACAAATATATTCAAACATAATATTAATACAATATATACAATACAACATATTACAATATAATACAACATATTAAACAAACAATTGTTTATACTTCCTATTCACTGAGCTCTCCTAATATAAGATAAAAAGTAAAATGAAAAAAAAAGAAGGTTATTGCAAATCGAAACTGAATAATGGATATAAGATTTTATTTACATCTGCAAATATTTTTTGTTATTTGTTTCTCTTTTGGACATTATTTTTAGTGCGTTGAAGACGAAGGACCAGCAACTTCATCTGCAGCATATAAAGTAAGACTACTTTTTCGTTTTTTACAATTTGCATATAATACATCGGACGACATTCGAGACAAATGTTCTTCAGTTACTTTCAAGTTGATAGCTGTTTCGCCCCTCGCCTTCAACGTTGATTTTATTACGCAATTAGCATTAACAGAGATGGCAGACAGTTTGTTGCGTTTCTTAGATTTTAAATCAGTTAAAATGGAAAACATTCTCTCTGGATCTGCATTGGAATTAGGGAGTGATCTAACAGCGCTTACAAGATTTGACAGCGAATATCTAAAGTCTCAGGATCAACGTATTGAACAAAAAACGTCATCCATTTTTCATTACATATATCCGACGTTTCGTCTACGAAAATAGAGAATTTTGTTCTCTGAAGTTTCTTTGCGAGTTGTTCAGTTTCAACCGGGCACAAAACATTCGAAAGAATCTTTCCCAAAACTTTCCCGCCCTCTAAAGGTTAACAAACGTTTTGACGTCTTGTTGATTGCCGTTGTGTCGCAGAGCTCTCCAAATAACTTGATTGTCCTCGTGTATCACGGTAATTCCATCACGGTAGATCACCATAATTTTTCCATACGCACATATACACGCAGATAGAGAGGGTTTGGAGTCATTAAATACTGTGGAAGTGACGAACCACGGGGTCCTGATCTCTATCTGCAAAACACACACACACACACACACACACGCAGAGAGAGAGAGGGTTTGGAGTCGTTAAATACTGTGGGAGTGACGAACCACGGGGTCCTGATCTCTTTCTGTAATACATAGACACACAGCACATACCATTTGCTTTTTTTTTACTTTTTTATTTTTTTTCTTCACTTATTTCTTTCTCTTTTTGTTTTATTTCGCTTTTTTCGATATGGAAGCGTGTGATGAATTGCGCAAAAAACCTAAGCGAAGTTTTGTAGAAGCTTGGCTTAGTGACGAGCGTTATAAATCATGGATACGTAAAGTATCATCTGACGAAAGTCTCTACTTTTGTACTGTGTGCAATGAAAGTTTTTCATGCAATGCAGCACATGTTTCCAGACATGCGGATTCTGCGTGTCACAGAAACAATTTAAAAAAAAACGTAGTTCCATCATTATCTAATGATGAAACTATTCATAATAACAATATAAGTAAGCCAGTTTTTAATTACGGATGGCTGGATATTGAGAATTTTAAATTATGGTTGCGTGCGGTTCCGCGTGACGAAAGTGCATGTTATTGTGCAATATGCGACAAACATTTTGCTGCTCGCTTAGTGCAGGTTCGTCGACATGCAGAATCCGAAAGTCACATAAATTTATGCCAAATACAAGGTATCGAAGCGGGTAAATCAAATGATGATTTTGTTACGCAAGATAATGAATTCTTTCTGTCGGTTGATGGGCGTACAAAATCAGCGGAAATACAGTTTGCCGCTTTAATTGCAGAAATTAATTTACCTCATCAGAATGCAGAAAAGATTCTGAGGTTCTTTCAACACATAGGAGAAGATCCTATTGCGTTGAAAAATATGAAAATGGGTCGAACAAAATGCACAAAGATTCTTTCGAATGTTTTGTGCCCGGTTGAAACTGAACAACTTGCAAAGAAACTTCAAGAAGAACAAAATTCTCTATTTTCGTAGACGAAACGTCGGATATATCTAATGAAAAATGGATGACGTTTTTTGTTCGATACGTTGATCCTGAGACTTTAGATATTCGCTCACAATTAGTGAAATTGATAAATATTGATGCAAGATATTCGAGCGCTGAGAAGTTATTCCATGCATTTCAGTCAGAAATGTGGAAGCTACAGATTCCTTTTACAAATATAATTGCATTATCATGCGATAATGCATCAGTTATGACCGGAAAACACTCATCCTTTAAAACAAAATTGGAAAAATGGTGCAAGCGACTCCTAACCATGCCATGTCCATGCCATTCTGCTGCATTAAGTGCGCACGCTGCATGTGCAAAAATCCCATCATTTTGCGATGAATTTTTGAAAAAAACTGTTCACTACATTAACGGTAGTCCAAAACGTTCAGCAATTTTTCAGGAATTTACTGAGTGTTTCCAAGACAAGCATCTTAAAATGTTAAAATTAAGTGAGACACGCTGGTTGTCTCACCACGCATGCGTCGAAAGACTTCTCCAT